GGATGGATCTGGGATTTATTGGGATTTTTGGGATTTATTTGGATTGTTGGGATTGGTTTATGGGATTTATTGGGATTGTTTGGATGGATCTGGGATTTATTGGGATTTTTGGGATTTATTGGGATTTTTGGGATTGGTTTATGGAATTTATTGGGATTTTTGGGATGGATCTGGGATTTATTTGGATTGTTTGGATTGTTGGGATGGGTTTATGGGATTTATTGGGATTTATTGGAATTTATTTGGATTGTTCAGATGGATCTGGGATTTATTTGGATTGTTGGGATTTATTGGGAAAATGGGATGGGTTCTGGAATTTATTGGGATTGTTGCGATTGTTGGGATTTATTTGGATTGATGGGATGGGTTCTGGGATTTATTTGGATTGTTGGGATTTATTGGGATTGTTGGGATGGGTTTTGGGATTTATTGGGATTATTGGGATGGGTTCTGGATTGGGAATTCATCTCTGCCCCAGCCCCGCCTTCCCAAAGGTCCCAATGGGCAGGGAAAGAGGGAAAGGGCAGGAAAAGAGGGAAGGGGCAGGAAGAGCAGGAAAAGGCTCAGGAAGAACAGCAAGAGGCTCAGGAAGAGCAGGAAGAGCAGGAAGAGCAGGAATAGGGACAGGAAAAGGCTCGGGAAGAGGCTCGGGAAGAGCAGGAATAAGGACAGGAATAGGGTCAGGAACAGCAGGAATGGGGTCAGGAACAGCAGGAATAGGGACAGGAATAGCAGGAATAGAGACAGGAATAACAGGAATAGCAGGAATAGGGTCAGGAAGAGCAGGAATAGGGTCAGGAATAGCAGGAATAGGGTCAGGAATAGGGTCAGGAATAGCAGGAATAGAGACAGGAATAACAGGAATAGCAGGAATAGGGTCAGGAAGAGCAGGAATAGGGTCAGGAATAGCAGGAATGGGGTCAGGAATAGGGTCAGGAATAGCAGGAATAGAGACAGGAATAACAGGAATAGCAGGAATAGGGTCAGGAATAGCAGGAATGGGGTCAGGAATAGCAGGAATGGGGTCAGGAAGAAGCTCGGGAAGAGGCTCGGGAAGAGCAGGAATAGGGTCAGGAATAACAGGAATAGGGTCAGGAATAGGGTCAGGAAGAGCAGGAATGGGGTCAGGAAGAGGCTCGGGAAGAGCAGGAAGAGGCTCGGGAAGAGCAGGAAGAGGCTCGGGAAGAGCAGGAAGAGGCTCGGGAAGAGCAGGAAGAGGCTCGGGAAGAGCAGGAAGAGGCTCGGGAAGAGCAGGAAGAGGCTCGGGAAGAGCAGGAAGAGGCTCGGGAAGAGCAGGAAGAGGCTCGGGAAGAGCAGGAAGAGGCTCGGGAAGAGCAGGAAGAGGCTCGGGAAGAGCAGGAAGAGGCTCGGGAAGAGCAGGAAGAGGCTCGGGAAGAGCAGGAAGAGGCTCGGGAAGAGCAGGAAGAGGCTCGGGAAGAGCAGGAAGAGGCTCGGGAAGAGCAGGAAGAGGCTCGGGAAGAGCAGGAAGAGGCTCGGGAAGAGCAGGAAGAGGCTCGGGAAGAGCAGGAAGAGGCTCGGGAAGAGCAGGAAGAGGCTCGGGAAGAGCAGGAAGAGGCTCGGGAAGAGCAGGAAGAGGCTCGGGAAGAGCAGGAAGAGGCTCGGGAAGAGCAGGAAGAGGCTCGGGAAGAGCAGGAAGAGGCTCGGGAAGAGCAGGAAGAGGCTCGGGAAGAGCAGGAAGAGGCTCGGGAAGAGCAGGAAGAGGCTCGGGAAGAGCAGGAAGAGGCTCGGGAAGAGCAGGAAGAGGCTCGGGAAGAGCAGGAAGAGGCTCGGGAAGAGCAGGAAGAGGCTCGGGAAGAGCAGGAAGAGGCTCGGGAAGAGCAGGAAGAGGCTCGGGAAGAGCAGGAAGAGGCTCGGGAAGAGCAGGAAGAGGCTCGGGAAGAGCAGGAAGAGGCTCGGGAAGAGCAGGAAGAGGCTCGGGAAGAGCAGGAAGAGGCTCGGGAAGAGCAGGAAGAGGCTCGGGAAGAGCAGGAAGAGGCTCGGGAAGAGCAGGAAGAGGCTCGGGAAGAGCAGGAAGAGGCTCGGGAAGAGCAGGAAGAGGCTCGGGAAGAGCAGGAAGAGGCTCGGGAAGAGCAGGAAGAGGCTCGGGAAGAGCAGGAAGAGGCTCGGGAAGAGCAGGAAGAGGCTCGGGAAGAGCAGGAAGAGGCTCGGGAAGAGCAGGAAGAGGCTCGGGAAGAGCAGGAAGAGGCTCGGGAAGAGCAGGAAGAGGCTCGGGAAGAGCAGGAAGAGGCTCGGGAAGAGCAGGAAGAGGCTCGGGAAGAGCAGGAAGAGGCTCGGGAAGAGCAGGAAGAGGCTCGGGAAGAGCAGGAAGAGGCTCGGGAAGAGCAGGAAGAGGCTCGGGAAGAGCAGGAAGAGGCTCGGGAATCGCGGGCAGCACTCACAGCTGGGCCGGGACGGCGCCGTGGGCGCTGCGCAGGGCGATGGTTCCCAGGCGCCGACCCCGCAGGCACAGCTGACCCCGCCAGCGGCACGGGGCTGCAACAGCCGGCAACAAGCGGATGGGACAGGCGGCAGGGACACCCCAAAAACAGCAACAAAACCAGCCCCAAACACAACCCCAAATACAGCCCCAAAAACAACCCCAAATTCAGCCCCAAAGCCAAAACCCAAGCCCAAAGTCAAAACCCAACCCCAAAAAGTACAACCCTAAAGGCAAAAACCCAACCCCAAATACAAACCCAAAACCCCGACCCCAAACACCCCAACATCCAACCCCAAACGCCCCAATCACCCAATCCCAAAAACCCCAAATTCCCCATACTCCAACACTAAAAGCTCAAAAACCCCAAAGACCCAACCCCAAACACCCCAAAATCCCAATCCAAATCACCTAATTCCAAACCCCTCAACCCCAAACACCCCAAAAACCCCAAAACCCCAAACATTCAACCCCAAACACCCAACCTCAAAAACCCCAAACACCCCAAAAACCCCAACCCCAAACACCCCATCCCAAACCCCTCAACCCCAACCCCCAACCCCCCCAACCCCAACCTCAAAAACCCCAAACACCCCCAAACCCAAAACCACAAAAACCCCAAAACCGCAAAACCCCAACCCCAAACACCCCCAAACCCCCAACCCCAAACACCCCAATCCCAAAAACCCAACTCCAAAAACCCAACCCCAAAAACACAACCCCAAAAACCCCAATCCCAAAACCCCAACCCCAAAACTCCAAAAACCCCAAAAACCCCAAACCTCAGCCCCGGAGAGTCCCCTGCGCTCTCACCTTGGGGTTTCTGCTCCGCTCTGGAGAAAAATCAATAAAAACCAGGAAAGGAAGGGAAAAATGAGAATAATTCCGGGATAAAGGGAAAAATGGGAACAATTCCAGAGGGGAAAAATGGGAACAATTCCGGGATAAAGGGAAAAATGGGAACGTTTCCGGAGGGAAAAAGGGAACCCCAGGACCATTCCCAGTGGGACAGGGCCATCCCATCGCATTCCCATGGGGAATTTCCCCATTCCCACCCCATTCCCATCGGGAAAAGGTCCATTCCCAGTGGGACAACCCCGTTCCCATTGGGAAAAGTCCATCCCATCCCCATTCCCATCAGGAATTTTTGCCATCCCCATTCCCATTGGGAAAAGTTCCTCCACCCCATTCCCGTGGGGAATTCCCCCATCCCACCCCATTCCCATCGGGAAGTTTCCCAATCCCGTTCCCATCAGGAAGTTTCTCCACCCCATTCCCATGGGGAATTCCCCATTCCCCTTAGGAATTCCCCCATTCCCATTGAGAATTTCCCATTCCCATTCCCACTGGGAATTTCCCCCATTCCCATCCCATTCCCAGCAGGAATTCCACCATCCCATCCCATTCCCATTGGGAATTTCCCCATTCCCATTCCCATTGGGAATTTCCCCATTCCCATTCCCACAGGGAATTCCCCCCATTCCCATTCCCATTCTCATTCCCATGGGGAATTCCCATCATTTCCATTCCCATCAGGAATTCCCCCATTCCCATTCCCACTGGGAATTTCCCCATTTCCATTGGGAATTTCCCCATTCCCACTGGGAGTTCCCACCATTCCCATTCTCACTGGGAATTCCCACCATTCCCATTCCCACTGGGAATTCCCACCATTCCCATTCCCATGGGGAATTCCCCCCATTCCCATTCCCATGGGGAATTCCCCCCATTCCCATTCCCATTGGGAACTCCCACCATTCCCATTCTCACTGAGAATTCCCCCCATTCCCATTCCCATGGGGAATTCCCCCCATTCCCATTCCCATTGGGAACTCCCACCATTCCCATTCTCACTGAGAATTCCCCCCATTCCCATTCCCATGGGGAATTCCCCCCATTCCCATTCCCATTGGGAACTCCCACCATTCCCATTCTCACTGAGAATTCCCCCCATTCCCATTCCCATGGGGAATTCCCCCCATTCCCATTCCCATTGGGAACTCCCACCATTCCCATTCTCACTGAGAATTCCCCCCATTCCCATTCCCATGGGGAATTCCCCCCATTCCCATTCCCATTGGGAACTCCCACCATTCCCATTCTCACTGAGAATTCCCCCCATTCCCATTCCCATGGGGAATTCCCCCCATTCCCATTCCCATTGGGAACTCCCACCATTCCCATTCTCACTGAGAATTCCCCCCATTCCCATTCCCATGGGGAATTCCCCCCATTCCCATTCCCATTGGGAACTCCCACCATTCCCATTCTCACTGAGAATTCCCCCCATTCCCATTCCCATGGGGAATTCCCCCCATTCCCATTCCCATTGGGAACTCCCACCATTCCCATTCTCACTGAGAATTCCCCCCATTCCCATTCCCATGGGGAATTCCCCCCATTCCCATTCCCATTGGGAACTCCCACCATTCCCATTCTCACTGAGAATTCCCCCCATTCCCATTCCCATGGGGAATTCCCCCCATTCCCATTCCCATTGGGAACTCCCACCATTCCCATTCTCACTGAGAATTCCCCCCATTCCCATTCCCATGGGGAATTCCCCCCATTCCCATTCCCATTGGGAACTCCCACCATTCCCATTCTCACTGAGAATTCCCCCCATTCCCATTCCCATGGGGAATTCCCCCCATTCCCATTCCCATTGGGAACTCCCACCATTCCCATTCTCACTGAGAATTCCCCCCATTCCCATTCCCATGGGGAACTCCCCCCATTCCCATTCCCATTGGGAATTCCCCCCATTCCCATTCCCACTGGGAATTCCCACCATTCCCATTCCCATGGGGAATTCCCACCATTCCCATTCCCACTGGGAATTCCCCCCATTCCCATTCCCACTGGGAATTCCCCCCATTCCCATTCCCATGGGGAATTCCCCCCATTCCCATTCCCATGGGGAATTCCCCCCATTCCCATTCCCAGCGCGGCCGTTCCCGTGCGTGTCTCACATTCCGGCTCCGTGTTCCGGGCGCGTTTCCCGGCTCCAGGCCAGCCGGATGTAGGGACAGACCTGCCGGGGCCGCTCGGCCGCGCCGCCGCCGCCGCTCACCTCGAACACGTAACACTGGGAAACAGCGGGAAAAACCCTCGGGAAAAATCCTCGGGAAGGATCCGTGGGATCCTCGGGATGATCCGTGGGATCCGTACCTGGCCGCTCCGCGCCGAGGCGTGGCAGTCGTAGCCGGGGGAGGGGCGGCTGCAGCTCCCGGAGCTCTCGGACACCGGACGCACCTTGCCCTGCCGGGGGGAATTCCGGGAGAAAATCCAGGGAAAATTCCATGGGGGGGTTCCATGAAATTCCATGGGGGATTCCATAGGAAATTCCATGAGAAATCCCACGGGGGATTCCATGGGGGATTCCGTGGGGAATTCCATAGGGGATTCCATGAAATCCCATAGGGAATTCCATGGGGGATTCCATGGGGAATTCTGTGAGAAATTCCGCGAGAAATTCCATGGAAAATTCCACGCGGAATTCCATGAGAAATCCCATGGGAAATTCCATGAGAAATTCCATGGGGAATTCCATGGGAAATTCCATGGGGGATTCCATGGGATATCCCATGGGGAATTCCATGGGGGATTCCATGAGAAATTCAGTGAGAAATTCCATGGAAAATTCAGTGGGAAATTCCATGGGAAATTCCATGGGGAATTCCATGAGAAAATCCATGGGGAATTCCATGAGAAAATCCATGGGGAATTCCATGAAAAATTCCATGGAAAATTCCATGAGAAATTCCATGAGGAATTCCACGGGGGAAGGAAGAGCTTTGGGAGTTTTGGGGTTTGGAGTTTTTTGGGGGGAGTCGGGATTGAGATGGGAAAAACGGGAAGCAGAACAAGAAAAGTTCCTGGATTTTGTGAAATTCCCAAAATTCCAAGGAAAAACTGGAAAAATCGGAGTTTGATTTTCCATCCCATGAAAATTCCAAGAAGCAAAAAGAGAAATTCCCAATGTTGGGAATTTGGGATTGGAATCAGTTCCAGGAATGGGGAAAATCCCCTCAAACTTCCCGAAATTCCTGGAATTCCCAGGAAAAACTGGAAAAAATCGGAGTTTGATTTTCCATCCCATGAAAATTCCAAGAAGCAAAAAGAGAAATTCCCAATGTTGGGAATTTGGGATTGGAATCAGTTCCAGGAATGGGGAAAATCCCCTCAAACTTCCCGAAATTCCTGGAATTCCCAGGAAAAACTGGAAAAAATCGGAGTTTGATTTTCCATCCCATGAAAATTCCAAGAAGCAAAAAGAGAAATTCCCAATGTTGGGAATTTGGGATTGGAATCAGTTCCAGGAATGGGGAAAAATCCCTCAAACTTCCCAGAATTCCCAGAATTCCCAGGAAAAGCCGGAATTACCTTGATGAGGCGGCAGATGACGATGAAGCCGGATTTGCCACGCTGCCAGTCGGGATATTCAGAAATGTAAACACCTGGAAAAGAGGGAATGGGAATTCCCAAAAAAAAAATCCCGGGAATGAGGGATTCTCCTCCCGGAATTCTGTTGGGATTTTTGGGAATTCTGGGTATTTCCACTTTTTTTTTGGGGTTTTTTTTTTGTTCCTGGAGGGAACAGAGGGAGAAAAATCCGCGGCTCAGAGCGGCGGGAATTTTCCCAGGGAATTGAGGAATATTCCCAGGAATTGAGGAATATTCCCAGGGAATGAGAAATGTTCCCAGGAATTGAGAAATATTCCCAGGAAATGCAAAATATTCCCAGAAAATTTAGGAATATTCCCAGGGAATTGAGAAATATTCCAAGAAATTTAGGAATGTTCCCAAAAAAAAAGAAATATTCCAAGGAAATTGAGGAATATTCCCAGGAAATGCAAAATGTTCCCAAAAATTGAAAAATGTTCCCAGAAAATTGAGGAATATTCCTCCAAAAATAAGAAATATTCCCAGGAATTAAGAAATATTCCCAAAAATAGAAGAATATTCCCAAGAAAATGAGAAATATTCCAAGAAATTTCGGAATATTCCCAGGGAATAAGAAATATTCCCAGAAAATGAGGAATATTCCCAGGAAATTGAGAAATATTCCCAGGAAATCAAGGAATATTCCAAAAAAAATCAATTCTTGGGTGACAAGAGTTGTTAATATTCCCAGAAACTGAGGAATATTCCCAAGAAATTGAGGAATATTCCCAGGAAATGAGAAATGGTTCTAAATATTGAGGAATATTCCCAGGAAATGTGAAATATTCCCAGAAAAATTAGGAATATTCCCAGAAAATGAGAGATATTCCCAGAAATTTAAGAATGTTCCCAGGAAATGAGGAATATTCCCAGGAAATTGAGGAATATTCCAAGAAATTTAGGAATGTTCCCAGAAATTGTGAAACATTCCCAGAAATCAAGAAATATTCCCAAAAACTGAGAAATATTCCAAGGAAATTGAGGAATATTCCCAAAAAATGAGAAATATTCCCAGGAAATGCAAAATGTTCCCAAAAACTGAGGAATATTCCCAGGGAATTGAGGAATGTTCCCAGGAATTGAGGAATATTCCCAGGGAATTGTTCCCATTCCCTTCACATTCCCGGGAATCGGCTCCTGGTGTTCAGGGGAGCAGGAGCCTGGAATGAGGAGGGGAAGGAATGCTGAATTCTCCAGGAAAATCCTGGAATTCCCTGGGAAAATCCTGGAATTCTCTGGGGAAAAAATTCCAAAATTCCCTGGGGAAAAATCCCAGAATTCCCTGAGAAAAAAAAAATCCATCAATTCCCTGGGAAAATCCCACAAAACCCTGGGGAAAAATTCCCAGAATAAAAATAAAAAAATAAAAAAACACCTGGAAAAATCCCAGAATTCCCTGGGAAAAAAAATCCCCAGAATTCCCTGGGAAAAAAATTCCCAGAATTCCCTGAAGGAATAGCACAAAAATATTCCCTAGAAAAATCCCAGAATTCCCTGGGAAAAAAATCCCCAGAATTCCCTGGAAAAAAATTCCCAGAATTCCCTGGGAAAAAAAAATCCCAAAATTCCCTGAAGGAAACCCCAAAAATCCCAGGAAAAATCCCAGAATTCCCCCCCAACAAATTCCCTCCTCCCCCTCCTTTCCCTTTTCCCCTTCCCCCATTTTTCCCGGGATTTTTTTCTGCAAAATTCCTGGAATTTCTCCCTTTTCCGGCGGCTCCGGAATTCCCGTTGGGAATTACCTTTGGCGGGATCTCCCAGGGATCGCAGGGAGCTGCTGTTGACACGGAGCCCGCGCTGGCACACCGCCCTGGCCTGGAAAACAGGGAAAAATCTGCTTTTCCCAACTTTTTTTCCCGGGATTTGGGAAAAAAATAGAGTTGGGAAAGCGTTTTTGAAGGGTTAAAGGGAATTCCCGATCCTTGGAATGTTAAAGGATTGGAATTCCAAGGAATATCCGAAGGGAGGGAGGAAAATTCGCCTGCGGGATCCCGGATTTGCTCAAAATTAAATGGAATTAAAATGGAATTTCCAGCGGATTCCCAGATTTTTCCAAAATTCAAAGGGAATTTCCAGTGAATTCCCAAATATTTTCCTAAAATTAATTTAAATTCAAATGGAATTTCCTGTGGGATCCTAAATTTTTCCCTAAAATTTATTTAAATCCAAAAGGAATTTCCAGTGGATTCCCAGATTTTCTCTAAATTAAATGGAATTAAAATGGAATTTCCAGTGGGATCCCAGATTTTCCCAAAATTAAAATGGAATTACCACTAGATTCCCAAATTTTTTCCTAAAATTAATTTAAATTCAAATGGAATTTCCAGTGGATTCCCAGATTTTTCCTAAATTAAAATGGAATTACCACTAGATTCCCAAATTTTTTCCTAAAATTAATTTAAATTCAAATGGAATTTCCAGTGGATTCCCAGATTTTTCCTAAATTAAAATGGAATTTAAAAAAAAATCTCCCAGGAGCCAAAGAATTCCACATAAGAATTCCAAAGAATTCCAATGAATAATTCCAATGAATAATTCCAATGAATTCCAAATTATCCCAAATAATAATTCCAGATAATTCTAAAGAATTCCAAAGAATATTTCCAAAGAATTCCAAACATTCCTAAAGAATTCCCAATTATTCCAAATATTCCCTAATAACTCTAAGGAATTCCAAAGAATATTTCCCAATAATTCCCTGTAATCCCTCAGACCAATTCCTGAGCGGGATTCCCACAATTCCCGAGCAGAATTCCCAGAATTCCTGTGCAGGATTCCCATTATTCCCATTGTTATTCCCGCTGTTATTCCCATTGTTGTTACTCCTGTTGTTATTCCCATTGTTATTCCCGTTGTTATTCCTGCTGTTGCTATTCCTGCTGTTGCTATTCCCGTCATTCCTGCTGTTATTCCCGCTGTTGCTATTCCCACTGTTGCTATTCCCGTTGTTATTCCCGCTGTTGCTATTCCCGTTGCTCCCGTTGTTATTCCCGTTATTCCCATTGTTCCCGTTATTCCTGTTATTCCCGCTGTTGTTATTCCCATTGTTGCTATTCCCGCTGTTGTTATTCCTGCTATTTTTATTCCCACTGTTATTCCTGCTGTTGCTATTCCTGCTGTTGTTATTCCCGCTGTTATTCCCGTTGTTCCTGTTGTTATTCCCGTTATTCCCGCTGCTGCTATTCCCGCTGTTATTCCCATTATTCCCATTGTTATTCCCGTTGTTATTCCTGTTGTTATTCCCGCTGTTGTTATTCCTGTTGTTATTCCCGCTGTTGCTATTCCCACTGTTATTCCCGTTGTTGTTATTCCCGCTGTTGTTATTCCCGCTGTTGTTATTCCCGCTGTTGCTATTCCCGCTGTTGTTATTCCCGCTGTTGTTATTCCCGTTGTTGTTATTCCCATTGTTATTCCCACTGTTGTTATTCCCGTTGTTGTTATTCCCGCTGTTGTTATTCCCGCTGTTGTTATTCCCGCTGTTGTTATTCCCGCTGTTGTTTCCGGTACCTCGTCCTCGCGCTCGAACAGGAGGAAGGCGAAGCTCTCGCGCAGCTCCTCGGGGCTGTACCCGGCCGCCGCCTTGGCGCGGGCAAAGGCTCGAAGCTGGAAAACGCCCAGGGATCCCGGATCACAACAGATCCCGATGGATCCCAAATCCCAACGGATCCCAACAGATCCCGACAGATCCCAGCAGATCCCAACAGATCCCGGCGGATCACAGATCCCAACAGATCCCGACAGATCCCAAATCCCAACGGATCCCAACAGATCCCAGCAGATCCCAGCAGATCCCAGCGGATCACAGATCCTGACAGATCCCGACAGATCCCAAATCCCAATGGATCCCGACAGATCCCAGCATGTCCTGACATATCCCAGATCACCAAGGATCCCAAATCCCAACAGATCCCGAATCCCAATGGATCCCAAATCCCAACAGATCCCAGTGAATCCCAGTGGATCCCAAATCCCAATAAATCCCAAATCCCGACCAATCCCGATAGATCCCAATGGATCCCAAATCCCAACACATCCAGACGGATCCCAAATACCAAAAAATCCCAAATCCCAACGGATCCCAAGTCCAAATAAATCCCAGATCCCAGCAGATCCCAAACCCCGACAGATCCCAACAGATCCCACTCAGCCACGCCAGGAAAATCCCAGGAGAGGAGCAGAGCTGGGAGCGACCCCGGAAAAGCTGGGGATTAATCGAAAGGATCGGAGCAGGAGCTCAGGGAACGGCTCCGGAATTTCCGTTCCCGGGTTTGAAATCCAAGGATTTTCATCCTTTTCCAGGATTTTCCAAGGATTTGGGAAAGGCCTGGAGGGGCAGGAGCCAGGGAATGGCTCCAGATTGGAAAAGGGGAATTTGGGATGGGATTTTGGGAATTCCCAGAGCAGCTGGGGCTGTCCCTGGATCCCGGGAATGGCCAAGGAAGGGTTGGAGCAGCCTGGGATGGTGGGATTGGAATGGGATGGGATTGAAGGTCCCTGGATCCCATCCCAAAGCATTCCGGGATTCTGGGATTTGGGAGGCTCCGAATCCATCCCGAGGGATTTTTCTGGGAAATGGGGATGGGAAAGAGAGGGAAAGGGAAGGGAAAGCCTTGGTGGCTTCCTGAGATTGCAAGGGAAGGCCCTGGGTCCATCAATTCCTTGGAGAGGAGATGGATCCAATGTCAGGCTCTGGAGCCAGGCTGGGAGAGCTGGGAATGTTCTCCTGGAGAAGGGAAGGATCCAGGGAGAGCTTCCAGCACATTCCAGGGCCTGGAGGGGCTCCGGGAGAGCTGGAATTTGGGAAAGGCCTGGAGGGGCAGGAGCCAGGGAATGGGGATTTTATTCCCAATGGTGATGGGAGCGCGAGCAACGGGAAGAAAAAAAAGCCGGGAACGGCGCCAGGGGCTCCGTGAAGAAATCGACATTCCCGAACTTCCCCAATCCCGTTTTTTCCTGGAATTCCAAGCTCACCTCGCTCCGGAAGAGCTCGTTCTCCACCAGGATGGCCTGGCTGTAGCGGAATCCCTGCTGGGAGCCGGAATCGCGGCAGCAGCTCCGCAGCAGCTCCACCGCCCGCTCCAACAGCTCCTCGGATTCCGCCGGAAAACCTGGAAAAGGTCGGGAATCTTCACTTTGGGAATGTCCTGAGGGGGAAAATCCTGGGGGTTTCTTGGAAAGAGGGAACCTGGATTTTATCCAAATAAAGAAATTCCTGGATTTTTTTTTTTCCCGGATTAATTTAAATTCCAAGGGATTTCCAGTGGGTTTTCCTAAAATTAAGTGAAATTAAAATTGGATTTCCAGTGGATTCCCAGATTTTCCCAAAATTCCAAGGGAATTCCAAGTGGATTCCCAGATTTTTCCAAAATTAATTTTTATTCAAAGGAAATTCCCAGAGGATTTTCACAGATTTTCCCAAAATTAATTTAAATTCAAAGGGAATTTCCAGTGGATTCCCAGATTTTCCCTAAAATGAAATTAAAATTCATGAAAATCAATTAAAAGATTAATTAATTAAAATGAAATAAATTAATTTTAAAAATTAATTAAATTTCCATCCAGTGGATTCCCAGATTTTCCCAAAATTCAAAGTGGATTTTCCCAGATTTTTTTCCCAAAATTAAATTAAAGAAAATAGATTAAAAAATTAAATGAAATAAATTAATTTAAATAAAATTAATTAATTAAAAAATTAAATGAAATTCCCAGATTTTCTCAAAATTAAATTAAAATTCATGAAAATAAATTAAAAGTAATTAAATTTAAAATTAATTAATTAAAATTAAATAAAACTAAATAAATTAAATAAGTTAATTAAAAAGTTCAATAAAATTCCCTTCCAGCAGATTCCCAGATTTTCCCAAAATTCAAAGGAAATTTTGAGTGGATTTTCCCAGATTTTTTTCCAAAATTAAATTAAATAAAATTAATTTTAAAATTAATTAATAAGTAAAATAATTAATTTAAATTTAATTTTATTTAAAATTAAATAAAATAAAGGAATTAAAATGAAACAAATTAATTAAAAAATTAAATTCCCCTCCAGTGGATTCCCAGATTTCCCCAAAATTCAAAGGAATTCCCAGTGGATTCCCACTTTTTCTGGAAAAATCCTGGAAAAATTCTGGAAAAATCCTGGAAAATCCAGGAATTTTTTCCTCAGTGCAGCTTCCAAATGAAAATCCAGGAAAGGGGGGAAAAATAATTAATGATTAATAAATGATTAATTAATAAATAATCAAATTAATGAGGCCACACCCCTCAATTCCTGCCTGGATTTAGGGGAGATTTCTCCCAACCCTAAGGAAAAGAATTCCCAGGAAAAAAAATTCCCAAATCTCGGCACATCCCAGGGCAGGAGGAGAAGGTGAAAGTGAAAGTGACCAGAGCAGAGGGGAAAGTGAAAGTGAGAAACTCGGGAATGGCAATGGATCCATGGGGAAAAAGTTAGGAATGGCAACGGATTCATGGAGAAAAACTTGGGAATGGCAATGGATCCACGGGGAAAATCTTGGAATGGCAGCGGATCTGTGGGGAAAACCTTGGGAATTAAAAACTTGGGAATGGCAGGAGATCCATGCGGAAAATCTTGGGAATGGCAGCAGATCCATGGGGAAAATCTTGGAATGGCAATGGATCTGTGGGGAAAAACTTGGGAATGAGAAACACGGGAATGGCAGCGGATTCCTGGAGAAAAACTTGGGAATTAAAAACTTGGGAATGAGAAATGCGGGAATGACAGCGGATTCCTGGAGAAAATCTTGGGAATGAAAAACTTGGGAATGGCAGCAGATCCATGGGGAAAATCTTGGAATGGCAGCGGATCCGTGGGGAAAATCATGGCAATTAAAAACTTGGGAATGGCAGGACATCCGTGGGGAAAATCTTGGGAATGAGAAACTCAGGAATGGTAGCAGATCCACTGGGAAACTCAGGGAATGAGAAACTGGGGAATGAGAAATTTGGGAATGGCAGCAGATCCATGGGACAAACTCAGGGAATGGGATCAGACAGCACAGATGGCACAGGCCTGGAAAAGGCCTGGAAATTCCAGAGGGGATTATCCCTGCCCTGAAATCCCTGGGAATTCCTGGCATGTCCTGGAGCATTCCCAGACTTTTTGCCCGGAATCCGGGCAAGGAACTCCGAGCTTCCCCTCCAGGGAACCGCAGAATTCCTTGGAATTCCCAATCCAAGCCTCCCCTGGCTCAGCTGAGGCCACGAACTTCCAAACTCCAGGAAAACTCCAGGAAAACTCCAGGAAAATTCCAGGAAAACTCCAGGCTTTGGAAGCGCGGAATTTGCCTTTTTTTTAGGATTTTTTAAAGTTGGAACAAATCCCCAAAATTCCGTGATCCAGCAATTTTTCCAAGCTGGAATATCGGGAATCAGCAGCAGGATCAGGGATCCACATCCCACCGTGGATTTACAGCAAAATTTGGGATAAATCCCAGAGATTTTACTCTGCCTTGAGTATCCCAAACTCCAGCTCGTGTTTTTCCAGAGGTTCCTTGGGAACGTCTTTCCCAAATTTTTTTGGAGTCCAATTCCCTCCATCCCTGAATTCCTCCTTTCCCCGTGGGAGATCTCCCAAAAAAGTCGGAGTCTCCCCCCGGCTGATCCAGGGATTTTTCCTTCTCCGGCTGATCCCACTCCCGGGAACATTTCCCACAACCGGGAATTTTTTGGGAAAATTGGATATTTGGGAAAATTTTCCCGCCTAAAAAAAATGGGACGAGGTTGCCCAGAGAAGCGGGGGGGGGGATGAAAAAACGGGAAGCGAGGGTTGGGAATGCTTGGATTGGATTCCCGAGGGATTTTTCCAACGTGAACAAGTCTGGAATTTCCCTTTCCCAGCTTTTCCCGGCTGTTTTTCCCACCCCAGGAAACAGGGAATTATTTTAACCCTGGATTTGCCGGTGGCCAAGAGATCCCACCTCGTTTTCCGTGGGATTTTCACCCAACGGCTGGGATTTTCCAATGGTTTTCCAGGATTTTCATGGAAAAAGCCTTTTTTTCCCATGGTTTTTCCATTCCAGATTGGGATGGGAACAAAACCTCTGGAATAAAATGCTGGAAGCTTCCAGGTGAGGAATAAAAAGCCATCCACAAATGCCAAGATCCCGTGTTTTTCCCCCCTCTGGAAAATTTCCATGAGTTTTCAGGATGCAGCTCCACGTTCCTAAATTAAATCCTCCTGAAACTTGGGAATTCTATGGGATAAAATTCCTTTTGCTGGATTTAAGGGCTTCCCAATCCATAGATCGAGTTTTCCATTCCCTGTGGGATTGGGAATGAGGATGTGGAAGGTGCTGGATGATCTTCAGGGCCTGACAGGATTTCCTTGGATGGGATTTTGGGAATTCCTGGAATTTTTTTCCAGAGCGCTGGAACCTTCAGATCTCCAAATCCCATTGGATGGGAATTTTTGGGGAATTTTTTTGGAATTTTCTCAAAGGAAGGGAAGGCGATTTTTGCATCAGCAAATTCCCACCCGGAGGAGGCTCCAAACAAAAAGAATTCCAAAGGAAACGTTTCATCCAGGAGGGAAAATTAAAGGGAAAAAAAAAACCCAAAAATCTCCTTGGGAGGATGAGGTTGGATGAGAAATTGGAATTTTTCCCTCTGGAAAAGGGAAAAAATCTCCTCAGGGTGGGAAAAGCTTTCCAAGGATTTCCTTTTCCGCCCTCCCCGCTGCTCCTTTCAGCCGCTGGCGGAATTCAAAATGTGCTTTTCGCACGTTAATCGGTAAAAATCGTTTTTCTCGGGAATTTTTATCCCAAAATCCCGATTTTTGTCGCCTCACAAAGGTTGTGGTTTCACTCAGGCGATTCCTGACTCTTCCCAAATTGGCAGCACGGGAATTTTGGCGCTTGGAAAATTTTTAAAAAAGCAATTTTTTGTTTGCAAAATCGGCCAGTTCAGTGATTTTCCATGGAGCTGTCTCCTTGAGGAAGAGAAATTCTCTTTGGGAAAAGAGGAGGGAAAAAAAGAATCCAAATAAATTCCCTGTGGATTTTCCGGCTGGGGAAATCTCACCCTGAGAATTCCCAAGAAAAACAAGGAAAGCCAAGCGCTCAAATCCAAAAATTCCCTCAGAATTAGCGGGGTCTCAGCATCCAACCCAAAAACCCAAAAAACTGGGAAAGAAAATAATTTATCCCCCCAGAAAAAGAATTCATCCCAAACCAAAAAAATTATCCGCAAAAAAATTTAATTTATCCCAAAAAAATCAACTTTTCAGTTTCTGCTTTCAAAGGGATTCTAAGGTGGGATTTTAAGGAATACTGAGGGTGAAGATCTGGGAATGAGGAACATTCACATCAAAGACTTGGGATAAACCCCAATATATTCTGAGTAGCCCAAAAAAAAATCTGGATCTTCCGGATCATCACGGAACGCACATTTTTTTAAGGAAAAAAAACACTCCAAGCAGTTTTGTTTCCATGGAAAAAGGATTTCCAGTGATTTTTGTGCCATCCAACCTCCTGCTCGTTCCATTTTTTTCCCAGATTATTCCCCCATTTTAGAGCTGGGCAAACTCTGCTCCGATCCAAACCTTTCTGGGATAATTCCAGGACAATCTGGGATTAGAATTCCACCAAACCGGAGCGCGAAAAGTGCTTTTCTCCCTTTATAAAGTCAAATTTCAGCCTCGGGAAAGGGGGATTAAGAAGATTCCAGTCCCTTCAGGAAGGGATCAGCGCCCATCCGTGTTTTAGTCCCAAATTTCCACGCAGAAAAGGCACCTGCTCGCCAAAAATAAAATATCACCGTGATTTTCCCAGCTGCTGGAACCATTCATTGGAAAAGCCAACGTGGCTCCGGTGAGGGAGAAAAATTCCCCGGTTCCGACGTGGCCGGGGCTCGGCAGAGGGGCAAAGGCGGCCCGGCCTCTCCTCGGCTTCCCCGGGGCTCGGTGGGGAACCGGGAGCTCTCGGTTATCCAGGGAAGGGCAGCATGGAGCCGGGAAATCGCCTTTTCCCCAGGGATGGAGCGGTAACCCTTTGCTTACCAGAGAAGGGTGGGATGGAGTCGGTAATGCCCACCCGGCTTCCCTCAGGGCACGGCGGGATGGAGCCGGGATCCCTGTTCTCCCTTAGGAAGGGTGGGATGGAGCCGGGATCCCCCCGCTCCCAGGGAAGGGACGCATGGAGCCGCTCGCCTTCCCTTCCCTCACGGAGGAGCGGGATGGAGCCGCTCGCCTTTCCCTCCCTCACGAAGGAGCGGGATGGAGCCGCTCGCCTTTCCCTCCCTCACAGAGGAGCGGGATGGAACCGCTCGCCTTTCCCTCCCTCACGAAGGAGCGGGATGGAGCCGCTCGCCTTCCCTTCCCTCAAGGGAGAAGCGGGAGGGAGCCGCTCGCCTTTCCCTCCCTCACGAAGGAGCGGGATGGAGCCGCTCGCCCTTCCCCTCCCTCACGGAGGAGCGGCGTGGAGCCGGTAACCACCGCCCAAGTCGCAGGGAAGGGCGCGATGGAACCGCCCGCCCTCGCCCTCCCGGCCCCGCTCACCCGTGCCCGGCTCGCCGCTCTCCCCGCGCCGCCTCTCGCCCATGGCCGGGGCTCGCTCGGGACCGTCCCTCAGGCCGCCCTCATGGCCGCCCCGCCCGGCCCCCGGCGCGGCCCCGCTACCGGGCCGGCGGCATGAGGCGGTGCGGGGCGGCCGCCGCCATCCGCCGGCCCCAGGAAGTGGAAGGACGGGGCGGGCGGGAGAAGAGGGAGGGAAGGAGGGGACGAGGGGCGGGAGCGGCGGGGAAAAAAACAGAAAGTGAAAACTGAACCGGAAAGACAGCGAGGGGCCGCCCGCGGGTTTTCCTCTTCCCGCGGTCACCGGCCCTTGGGTGCCCGTAGGCGGCTTTTCCTCTTCCGTGCCGGCCCTCGGCGCTGCTCGCTCGCTCTGAGCTCCTGCCTCGGCCATCGGTGTTTGCCCTTGGTGGGGATCTTGCCCCAGGCTTGCCCTGACCTCCTTCTCCTCCATCGCCTCAGCCCCTCCATGCCTGACTTCAGCTCTTCCCGCTGTCGTCCCTCACATCATGGGGAGAGACTCCTTTCTTTCTTTCCCCCTCAGTGTTTTCCCTCTTTTGTGTCTCCCCCAGTTCCTCCCCGACCAGCTCAGTGATTGTTCGGCTCTTCCCGCTGCTCCTTCCCACATTTTCCTGCTTTGAGCTCTCAGTGCCTTCCCCAGAGCCATGTTTTGGGCCTTCCCTCAGTCCCCAAACTCCTTCCCTTGTCCCCTCACATCATGGCCAGGGCTCCTTTTCTCACCACGCTCTTTTCCCCTCAGTATTTTCCCTTAGTTCCTTGTTTAGGACCTTCCCTCGGTCCCATAACCCCATTTCCTCACCTTGAGTCCTTTTCCTCATTTCAGATCTTTCCCCTCAGTGTTTTCCCTCAGCTCCTTGTTTTGGGCCTTTCCTCAATCCCAAATTTCCTTATTCCCTCACACTTCGCACCATGGCCAGAGCACCTTCCCTCACCTCAGTCCTTCCCCCTCAGGATTTTTCAGGTGCAGAAAAACTTATTTATTATTTATTTATCTTCTTTTTCTGCTTAAACCTCAATTTCTGTGGGTGTGGGTGTAGCCTGGAGCCAACCCGTGAGGGGTTCGGGGTAAGGGAAGGCTCTGAGGGGGAAGGAGGTGACGGAAGGAATTTAAGGAATGATGTGAGGGGTGAGGGAAAGAAGGAATGGGGGAAAAGGGACTGAGGAAAGATAAAAAAATGATGGGGAAGGGGCTGAGGGAAGGCCCTGAGGGGATCAGGGAAGGGATTTTGAGGGGATTGAGGAAAGGCTCTGAGGGAGATGGAGGTGAGGGAAGGGATTTAAGGAATAGGATGAAGTAAAGAGGGAATGAGGGAAAGAGGGAATGAGGAGACTGAGGGAAGATCCAAAATGAGAAACTGAGGAAAACACAGGGCCAGAAGAGATAAACAATGAAGGGGAAGGGGCTGAGGGGACCAAGGAAGGGATCTGGGGGGTATTGAGGAAAGGCTCTGAGGGGGAAGGAGGTGAGGGAAGGGATTTAAGGAATGGCGTGAGGGGTGAGGAAAAGAAAGAACAAGAAGGAGACTGAGGGAAGATTCAAAATAAGAAACTGAGGAAAACCATGAGGACCAGAACAGGTAAAAAATGATGGGGAAGGGCCTTGAGGGAAGGGGCTGAGGGAAGAGCCAAGATGAGAAGCTGAGGGAAAACACTGAGGGGCCAGGAGTGAGGTGAAGGAAAGGATTTAAGGAATGGCGTGAGGGGTGAGGGAATGAGGAAAGATCCAAAACAAAGCTCTAGGGAAGGCTCTGAGGTGAGCGAAGAAGACCGAGGGAATGAGGGTGACACAGAAATGGGGTGAGGAGGTGAGGGAAGGGAAGGGGCCGGAATGGATGAAAAAACAAGTGAGAAAGGCCCTGAGGGAAGGAGCTGAGGGGATCAGGGAAGGGATTTGGGGAGATTGAAGGAAGGCTCTGGGGGAGATGAAGGTGAGGGAAGGGACTCAGGGAATGGCGTGAGGGGTGAGGGAAAGAAGGAACGAGGAGACTGAGGGAAGATCCAAATTGAGAAAGTGAGGAGAACCACACGGCCAGAAGAGATAAAAAATGATGGGAAAAGGCCTTGAGGGAAGAGCCAAAATGAGAAGCTGAGGGGCAAGGAGTGAAGAAAGGGATTTAAGGAATGATGTGAGGGATGAGGGAAAGAGGGAATGAAGGAAAGGGGACTGAGGAGAGATCCAAAAAGATAAAAAATTATGAGGAAGGGGCTGAGGGAAGGCCCTGAGGGGATCAGGGAAGGGATTTTGAGGGGATTGAGGAAAGGCTCTGAGGGAGATGGAGGTGAGGGAAGGGATTTAAGGAATAGGATGAAGTAAAGAGGGAATGAGGGAAAGAGGGAATGAGGAGACTGAGGGAAGATCCAAAACAAGAAACTGAGGAAAACCACGGGGCCAGAAGAGATAAACAATGAAGGGGAAGGGGCTGAGGGGATCAGGGACGGTGATCCCTGAAGTCCCTTGCGTTGGTTCTGAGTCACCTCATCCCAGTCCCAAACCCTACATGGAGCAGAAGAAACAGAAAATCATTTTTAGGGTTCACCAGAAACACCCAAAACACCTCAAAGGGTGAATGTTACAATCAATTTTGGAGCAGGGATATATGGACTCACTCAACCTCTGACACAGGAGCTCGTAGGAGCTCCCTGTTCTGAGAGCTCCAGGTGCTGCTGCCCAGTGAAAAAAAATGAATTCAGAATGAATTTCCAAAATGAATTTGGAAGAAAAAGTGACATTTTTTGGGGGCCCGGGCACCATATATAGCGAATTTCACAGCAAATTTTCCAGATCCATGGGTTTTTCTAGTTCCTGCTGGCAGAGAAAAACCTGGAATTCTTGCTAAGACAGAAATACGTTCCTGGTTGCCCTTTAAAGGGGGGAAATCAACAGCCTTGAGCTAAGAGATGTGAGGAGATTCTGGGAAATCCCGAGAGCAGATCTGCAGTCAGAACATCCAAGTTTCCACCTCCAGTGGGATCATTCCCATCCCAGTATTCCCAGTAATTCCATCCCAGCAACCCCTGCACCCCATCCCAGTGTTCCCAGTTCCCCCATCCCAGTCCCCCCAGTAATCCTATCCCAGTGTCCCCAGTTCCCCCGTCCCAGTCCCCCCCATTCCCCCATCCCAGTATCCCCAGTATCCTCATCTCAGTCCCCCCCATTCCCCAATCCCTGTTCCCCATCCCAGTATCCCCAGTATCCCCATTCCAGTACCTCCAGTATCTCCATCCCAGTATCCCCAGTTCCCCCATCCCAGTTCCCCCAGTATCCCCAGTTCCCCCATCCCAGTCTCCCCAGTTCCCCCATCCCAGTATCCCCAGTTCTCCCAGTATCCCCAGTATCCCCAGTATCCCCATCCCAGTCTCCCCAGTATCCTCACCCCAGTATCCCCAGTTCCCCCATCCCAGTATCCCCAGTTCCCCATCCCAGTATCCCCAGTATCCTCACCCCAGTATCCCCACTTCCCCCATCCCAGTATCCCCAGTTCCCCCATCCCACTATCCCCAGTACCCCCATTCCAGTATCCCTAGTTCCCCATCCCAGTATCCCCAGTTCCCCCATCCCAGTTC